GGTAAGATCGGCTTCCCAGAAGCCTTCAACTCTGCATTTTTGGTGGAAAACTCGTGGAGCTGAGTGTCAGCATAGTAAGCAACAACTATACCAGCCAAGCACACAGCAATGGCTACAATATCCCAAATGCTCCATGGTGCTTCAACAGTGTGTATGGTGTAGTAGGGCAAGGTTAATCCCATCAAAAAAATCTGTAATACATATAGAAATTTCTTGGTCTTAGTCTCCTATAGGTCCCTATAAAGAGAGCTGAACCTTAACTCTTCTAAAGAAGCATACATTGCTTTCAAATCTACTGCATTTAACAACAAAATCATACTTGCACATTTTCCTTAAGATCATAGAACTGAAATAGAATCACGTAAAATTCGGCCTCGAATCAATGGATCAACTTGAACATACATATTTTTGCATCAGAACAACTTAATCTTTATATAAACATCTTAAAAGTAAAACAAAAAATACATGGAAAAGTAAGAAATATACCTGCTGAGCAAAATAGATGGCAAAAAAGGAGACCCACCACCAATTTTTGCCATACTGTTGGCGCATATCAGTGAAACGCCAGTCCTCCCTAGCACCCCATTGCCAATTTTCGCGGCGAAAATAGTTATGAGAAAGCCTTAAACTCCATAGAAATGTCAACATTATAACAATTCTGGACCTCCACATATTATAAGTTGCTATTGGGTGAATTGCATAGTAGTAAGCTAGCAGCAATGGAATCACTGTCCAATATGGATCAATCATCTGCACCCAAAATCAAACCCCACAAAAAAATTCAAAAAACAAGTACATTTCCCTAAAATTTGTATAATTTAACCAAATTTCACACCCTTAAACATCTTATACTCACAAATAACATAATATAAACAAACCCCAGAATCAAAATTCAACAATTCTTTCAAAATAACTACTAAAATTCAAAAGGGAAGAAGTTGTGATCATACCCAGTGGCTGGATTGGAGATGACCAATAGCCCAGAACATGACATTGATGTTGAAGAAGAAGAAGACATTGGCAAGGAGAAAAGGGTGTTGGTAGCACCATGACCAAAGGGAGGAGAGAGAATGCTCAGAATCAGAGTAATGGTTGAGGAAATACATGTAGAAGAAGATGGAAGGAAGAGGGGCTAAGAATGCTATGATTGCATTTTTAAGGTTGCTATGGTTGCTTTTAGTTTTACCCATATTTGATAAATTATGGTTTTAAATTTGGGGAATTGTTGTGAAATTGGTGGGTTTTTCTGGGTTTGTGAGAATAAGGGGGATGATGAGAAATTGGGAATTTGGAGGGTTTTTGGAGTGACAAATAGAGGTTTGTTGAGAGGGGTTTATATAACTCCATGAAAATGATCACTTGTGAAGTTGTGAGTTGTGAGAAGTGAGATGTTTAAAAATCAAATTTAATTGATTGTTTTTTTGCCACTCTTTTCTACATTGCTTGCATAAAGTGCACATCCTTATTTCGTACTCCGTAGTAGATATTAAGGGGTTGTTTGGCAATCGGCGGTTGGTTGTTGGCTTGTTTGACTAGTTGTATGGGTTGACTTTTTAAGTTATTGTGTTAAGCTGACTGTTTTCAAAAGTGTTTGATAAAATTATTAATGATTGTTAGTTGTTTATTAGTGATAAAGTGGACCAACAAGCCAAAAGCCAATAAAAAAAAGCTACTCTTATTAGCTTTTGGCTTTTGGCGGAAAAGCTAGCTTAAAAGCCAACAAAAAAGCCAACTATCAAACATATTTTTTGGCTGTTTGACCAAACTTAAAAGCCAAAAGCCAAAAGTTAGGCAAAAAGCCAATTGCCAAACAACCCCTAAGTGTAGGTTCCACTATGACTTTAATGCTCTATTACGGAGTAAAGGTGTCAAAATCATATCCGACCCGACTTAATTCGAAATTGATACGAAAAATATCCAATTCAGATTTAGACTCGTATGGGCACATAAATTCAATATGACTCAACTTTAAAAATTGATCCGATCCGACTCGATCGGACATTGACCTCACTAGACCCGATCCGATCATCCGAATTGACACCTCTATTAGATGCTTTCTTCATTCCTTATTAATTGTCTTACTAATATATTTTAGTTAAATATAATTTTAGAGTGTGTATTGTTTATCTGAACTTATTTTATTATACGTAATTGAGTTTGACATCACAAATTATTGATTCATACTATTAAACTTGACAGCATAGACTAGATAAGTAACATAAAGTTGGAATGTAACTATCTTAGCAAAGTCAACATGCATTTATATTTCTAACAACTAACATTTTTAATATGTAACATCATCATACAGTTATACTTTGTACATACAATTCTAGTAACACGGTCCATATATTTAGAAATTCGATTTTGGCTCTTATGACAATATGATTAGCTACTCTAAATCTTCTAATAGCTAAATGATTGTTCTTATTTAGACTTATAATATACAGTAGTAATTATGATGGAGCAATTAACTGATACTAGCTAGCTAGATAACTTATTCTAATATCAAGCAAAGATAAGCTAATTAATGAATTAAAACACTACTATAAGATTAGAACCATTTATATTGCTCTTTCATTTGCTTTGTTAATTAGTTGTTTAAAATTTCAGCTTTATAGGCCTTGATTAACTAACTTAACAAGACGGCGCAAAGCATCTCCATTGATTTTGTTGCATTTAACTTTATTCTAATCTCTAAATTTACAAATGTTTTCTCCACTCCTTAAGGGAGTTAAAAAAACTTTGAGCCGAAATGAATCCAAATCAATCACTGCTTATATCATGCAAATCCATTATTTAGAGGTGTCACAAATTTTTTAAAAATATTGGATTTACGTACATTGATTTATTTTAATGTGTTTTTTGTAAAACTAATGTGAAAGTAAATTTTTTTTAAATAAATAATTTTAGTTAAAAGGGCTAATTCAACCAAAAAGTGAAGCTGATGGTTGAACTCCTCAACCCCTAGATCAATTTATATACTTTATCAAAAAGTTATTGAAGTGCAAATCATTGTAACTAAACCCCCAGTTAATATTTCCTAACAAAAATAACCATTTGATGTTGATTTTAAGACATATGGAAGAGAAAAATGTGTAACAAAAAATTAATTGATCCTCCAAAAACATAGCCGAGGTAAAAAACATGTACAAAATACTTGATAGATGCAAATTAAGACGTTTACTTTGGAGGAAGATTATTTTTAGTAAAGAGAAAAGGAAAGAGATAGTATTGGGTTTATAAAAGTGAAATGGATAATGATGATTAGCATCATATTTAAGGAAGAAAGTAGTGTGGCTAATCATAAATGTTTAATTATCTCTTATGTACTAACCACCATGCGCCGAATTTGGGTGATTCCCGCCTTTTTTAAGTGAGCTTTATTTTTTTCTTCAAGTCGCCAACCCAATTTCATTCATGTGGGCTGTTGGCCCTCCGCAATCCACGCTTCAATCTTCTTCTATTTTTACAGCGTTACACCCTTCCTACCTTAGGGGACCAGTTGTTGCACCAATGCACCATACCTTAGCGTCTATGCGCCTTTCGACTATGGGCGGCCTTAATTAACTTCAGTCGTGTTTTTTTTTTTTTTTTTTTTGTTGAAAGGTCATATGTTTTTTAAATAGAGTTACAATCAGCAGATGGTATAGATGAGATTTGATGTATGGTTTGACTATCACCTCTTAGATACTATTTAATTTGATATATAATTGACATCTGCTATTCAATTTCATAAGAGAAAAATTAAATGAAACTCGATTATGCATTTTTTCAAACTTAGTCTTGAGCTCTTGACAGGTTGAATTTAAAATTGAGGTAGCTCGGCTCGATTTTTAACTCTTGTAACTAACCGGGCCGGGGTCAAGTAATGTCTCGAGTCTTAGAAATTTTGTGAAACAGTCTCACCCAAAACCTTCTTAAAAAAAATATATGACTTATTATTTTTCTAGTCTTTACGCTAAGTTGATAAGATAATAAACAAGAACCTTCCTTTGTCCTTTTGGTGTGAAACTTTTATAACATGAAAGCATGCAATAATCAAATGGAGTCATCGTGATGCTTCTTGTAAAGGAATCAAAATCATATGCAAAAGTAAAAAAAATGTAAAGTTGAATGGACGCAAGTAATCATAGTAAATTAGAGATTATTGTATCAATTTAGCGCATGCTTGCTTGACAACCCATAAATATGTTGGCTATGCATTCTTTTTACTATTTCAATTTCTTTTTTTACTACCTACAATGTTGGACTTGTCTCCATTTAATCATTTTCATAATTGATTAGCGGCCTTAATCTTCAAAATTACCACAGTTAAATATATAGAACGAAAACTATTACTAAACTAGTTTAAATTTTACATTAATAAGTCACGAGTATAATTCAGGATGAACAGAGGACTACTTTTTATATTAGTACGGAGTAAGAAATAAGTACGAGTAGCATTTTTAAATGTTCGGAAAAAAAAAGGTAGTCGTCACAACTCACAAGTAATCTTAAGTTAACCAACCATCAACCTAAAGAGGGAAGAGGCATGTTGAGGTTGGGACCATAGTAGGAAATATTTGTAGCACGTATGGGAAGTCGTCGGCCATTACAAAAAATAAAATGCAAATGAGTGTGATGATTATAAAGCAGATATTATAGCTAATCTTGTAATTAGTGGTAGCAGATCATCTGATTTTTTTGCTAATTACATGTGTGATTCTGGGTTGTGTTGCATGTGTTTTGTTGAAAGAAAGCTATGTCAAAGCTCCGGGTTTTGCTCTCTCTATGTTTTTCTTATAATTGCTTTCAGATTTTTTGCATATTAATCTGATATAGTCTCTTAATCTGTAAAAGTGTTAAACTATATTTTTTAGATTACTTTTAAGGACATGATCAAAAGTAGAACCGAATGATTGTAGATCATGATTTGTTATCTTGACTATTTTGTGTATAAGCAGCTGTAAAAATAAAGTCTCAATAATCTGTTTTTGTGATTGTTCAAGAAACAGTGAGTACATGAGTGTACTATCATTGCTAGGCTCGAGGCCTTATTTCTTCGATTTAAAAGATTTTTCATATAAAGGTAGGATTACTATTAACCTACGGAAAAAAAATGAGGAGTTTTAAAAAATACAAAAGATAAATACAAGTAACACTTTCTTCGGCCTAGATTGAACCCCTAACTAATCCCCAATGATGGGCCTAAATTTTAAGACTAACTAATACCTATATTGTCTCCAATCTTTGTGTATCTACATACTAAATACATTTGCATGGTTTATATTTGCCACCTTGACCATATTATATAAGAAAATACATAATCATGTAATATCTTGAAAATAGCACGTTTTTGCTTTAATAAGCGTGAAAGTTAACCCTGTAGATTTTGAAGGATGGGATTTAACATTGGAAATAGGAGTATACATGTAATTGCAATTTCCATTTGGCCAATTTGGGTAATACTTTGCTCCAAGAAAATTTGGGTAAAGGAGGTCATGTTGTTCACATAACATGATCTTGAGCATCTCCAAATAAATAAAGAACATTGCTTATCTTCTTTACCCAAGTCCATCATCCTTCAATCAACAAGGCATCCCTACAAAATTCAAGCAAAGGGCCTTTAATTTAAGTAGAAGTAGTAAAGATTACTAGACCCTTTTAATTAATTTAAGCATTGTGTATAAGGCTGTGCATGTGCTGATGTACTTACAGGGAGAAGAACAATTACGAACACTAGCAGCATCTTTTGATCATGAGGATTCGACGTTTTCTCCCAATCCAAGTAACCCAAATAGGGTCTGTGGACACCAGTCTATATCCAGCATTGGTGTACAACGAACGAGCACCCCAATCATCCTCATATGCTCTTAGCACAAGATATTCATGCCCCCATAACACTGCTGTTACCTCACAGGCTTTCAGCAGAGCAGTTGCTACTTTCTGCCTCCTGAACATATATATATGCTATACATCTGTTAGTAACTCTGTACTCATATAAGTTTTTGATACTTAACAGGTTAAACATTCACTTAAATCAAATAGTTATGATTACATATCTAAAATTGGCCCTTGAGCAGTTGTCAACAAGATTTAATTAGCTTTTTTACACAGGGATTGCGGTGCTTCTGTAATTAAGAAAATATTACTTTCGTGTGCTGTATTGTTCATTTAGGAGTGTCACTGAGAAATGAAGCTCAATTCAAGGTATTTTAAAACAAACATAGAAGTGTAAGACAAAAACCTGAAGTTTTGGGAAACGGCAATTCCTGAAACATAGAGATACTCTGGAGCTCCTTGGAGGTGTTGCATCACGTCGTTGTCTCTTAATACAGTGACATCAACTACACCTACAAGTTGCTGTTGAACTTGTTCTGCCTGAGAATTCATCGAAGTATCCCTATCATGTTCCTTTGCGGGCTCTGCCACCAGACATGCATACCTGTTTTTATTTTCTTATCATTAAAATAAGAAATGTATTCGTATACAACTAGCAGGTACATGTCCAACAAGAACTCTCAGGACAAACACTGCGGTCAGGGTGTCGCTGTGGCCCCTGTGGTTCAGTGTTTAAGGGAAGGCCTTATAGCCTGTGTATCCAACTTATCAGGCGGCCTGGTTTTGTTTACAAGTGAAGCTATGAGAATTGAGACTAGGCGTGACCATGGGAGACTGGGCGTGACCATGGGTTTTGGTTTGATCCTGTAGCATCAGCCTCAAGCACTACACCAAAAGTTCGATCATTGGTTTTGGTTTGAATGTTACAGAACGCCTTGTGAAAATTGAGAAAAGAAAGATAAGTGTCAAAATCCAACCCCCCCCCCCTCTCTTTTTTTACATAGCTCGTGAATCCAAAAATAGGCCTAGTGACATAAAAATTATAAATTATTAGGTGCAGTTGAGACCACGCTTTTAGAGTTTCAAATAACGTATAACAATAGTTCAAGGGAAGTATAAATGGTTTATCATTACAATTTTATTATTTTTTTTTTTCCTGAATTGTTTTCACTATGTTACCTAGAGACATATACTCGTAAGTCGTAACCTCTACAATTTTATGCATGACGATTGTGATTAGCTGTTTGATTGTGCAACTGCAAAGAAACTTAGCTAAGTTGCCAAAATTGTATGCTGCATGCATCCACAATTAATTTCCAATTGCATCTAGACTAAGCAATGATTCAATTCTTTAGTTGTTTGTATTAGGATGAAGAAATTACCTGTCCGGAGGAGAGTTGCGTAATCTATAAATAAGTCCAGCAAGAACTTCAGCCTGACAGGATGAATAACTATATACATTAGCATCGTTTCATCATATTATACGCCAATTTACCCTGTAATTAAGCATTGATTTTTAAGTTTGACTAATTAATCAAATTTTCAATTATGGTTATCATACAACTCATAAACAATGCAAGGTCATAACAAGAGGTCACATTTTACATTTCCCATTAAGAGCTACGTATAATACTTTTTAAAAATCAAATTCCCTAAATGATCAATAACATTGAACAACGTGTGATTTTGATTTATACAGTATAAACAAACCCACGTGACATGTGCACGTTGGAGGAGAGTCTCACCACATACAAACCCATTAGTTTTCACGTGTAAGTTATAATCGCAAAATTAAATTAAAATAGAAATTAAAGAAGGGTACCTGAAAGAAACTAAAGAACCAATCATCAAAGAAAAGAGAAGGAACATGAAAAGCTTCAGCTTGAACTTGAGCAACCATCTTCATTTCACTCTTATCCTCTTTCATCCTTCTCACTTTCCAACCATATTCTTTCACCAAATAATCAATCTCTTTACTTTCATCAAACCCTTCATTTTTTCTGATTTCAATTTCAGCCGTCTGATCAATCATCATCCCCAGTTCTTCATCTGTACTAGGTGGACGCTGCTGTACCAGAGCACTGCTGTTGCTGTTATCACTACTACTAATACATGCTACTTTTAATAACCCACCTCTAATAATACACTTATTTTTATGTATTAGTACTAATGATTTTGTAATTACAAAAGGTACAAATGACTTGGATTCACCAGAAATTGAGAGTGTTCTGGAAATGTTGAGTATTTGATGGTTAGCTTGTAAATTAGCCATCATAATCTATGTATTTGTAATGATATTATTATGTACACTTTTTATGTGACATATACAGTTTTCTGTATCTAGAATTAGAGCATGGTTTTTTAATATTTTTTTTTTGAGAATTTTTGTGTCTCAAATGTTGGATTGTTGGGGGTTGTTCATGAAATGTGGAAGAGTGTAAAAAAAAAATAAAAAAAAAAATAGGAAAAAAATTATGAGGAGAAAAATGAGATTAGGCATAAGTGGTAGTGAAGAGGGTATAGAACATGGAAATGCCAGGTGGGAGAAGTGTAGCCTAACACTTGGTATACCTTAGAGTTGAGGTTTAGATTTTGTACTAGTGGATGTGCAAGGAGGCATGGGTACATACTTCATACTCCACATACCAAATTAGAAATGCCTAATGTGACAAAATTGTATAATCTTCGTATAAAATATAAATAAAGTTAATACTCGTAAAGTCGTAATAGACTAGCAGCTAGCCAGCTAATTTGACAAGCTGATTGTAAGTAACTGATAACATTAAAGTGTTTGATAAATAACTGTACAGTATTAGTATTTCAGTTTATTTCATACTCAAAAAGGTTTTTTTTTTAATGTTTTAATTTCAAAAGGTTTTTTTCTAAATAAAAAAAAAATTGAGTTCAAAAATAATTTTTAATAAGCTATTTACCAAGTATTCAAATTAACTTTTTAATTAAGATGGTGAAACCTCTAAGAATGTTCAATAAGCTAAAAGCTTTTTACTCCCTCCGTTTTAAATACTTGCTCTATTTCTCTATACGTGGAGTTTTAGGAGCAATTGGAGAAAGTAATAAAATATGAAGGTAGTGGAATAGTTGGGAAAATAAAAAATTGTAAAAAGCAAAAGTAGTGAAAGAATAGGAGCAGAGAGAGTATTATGTTGGGTCCACTAAGTGTGAGAAATGAATCAAATATTACAAAAGTAGTGAAAGAATAGGAGCAAGTATTTAAAAACGGCCGGAAAAGAAAAGTGGAGCAAGTATTTAAAAACGGAGGAAGTACCAAACAAAGCCTAAGACTTTTTCAAATGATCTAGATTGTGTGTGTGTGGCTTTTTTTTTTTTTTTTTTTAAGGTTAGGAGTATCTCTTCATTATGGGGAAGATGATTGTGTACTACTGTACTGCAAGATATGAATTGAACCTTATATGAATATATGTACCGTATTGAAGTTGTATCATACAGTTGTATGTACGTGAAAGTTTTTTCGTACGTGAGTTTCTTTTCTTTGATTCTCGCTTCAACAATGCTAATTTTGTGCCACGATTGTTTGGGTTCCAAAATTATTGGACTCTAGAGGAGGAATCTCATTCTATAGTTAAAAAAATATGGCCGCACTCTATTAAAGGTTCGCGATTTTATCGTATCCAACAAAAAATGTCTAGAATAAAGACCGAGCTTAAGACATGGGCACGTAAAAGGTATGGAAACAATAATAATAAATTATTGGCAAATGAAGAAAAAATAAAAGAACTTCATCATGCCCTTCGATCACAACCTTTTAATCCTATTTTAGTAAGTCACATTAATAGAATGATTCGTCAGCATGAAAAACTCCTCCTTTTTGGACAGCGACATTATGACTCTCTAAATCGAAAGAAATGGTTATTTCAAGGAGATAGGAACACTCGTTTTTTCCATAACAAAATGAGGAAAAAAATAGTCTCAACGACTATTCATAGGCTAAAAAATGAAAATAATGATTGGGTTGATACTTGTGATGAGATTAAAACCCTCCTTTTAGACTCTTTTCGCTCAAGATTTAAGTCAACTCTAATACTACAAGATAATTAGACTTATCCTTTATAGACCCTATAACGTCAACTGAAGATTGCAACTCTCTTCTTGCTCCGATCTCTAAAGAAGAAATTAAAGACGTTTTTTTTAACATGAACCCAGACAAAGCCCCTGGCTCTGACGGGTTTGGAGCTAAGTTCTTTCAATCCTATTGGGAAATTATTGAAAAAGACATCACCTTGGCAATTCAAAGTTTCTTTTCACATGGATGTCTTCCACCAGCATTAAACCACACCATTATTACTCTTATTCCTAAGATAGAAATGCCCGAGAATCCTAACCACTTTCGACCGATCAGCCTAGTGAACACAGTGTACAAAGCAATTTCCAAGATATTGGTCAATCGTTTATGCCCTATTCTTCAAAAAACAGTGAGTCCGCTACAAAACGCTTTTACTCCGGACCGTTCTATCCACGATAATATCCTCGTTGTCCAAGAAATTTTAAACACGTTCCAGAAATCTAAAAACAAAATAGGTTGGTGCGCCTTAAAACTTGACATGGAAAAGGCATATGATAGAATATAATGGGATTTCTTGTGGAAATGCCTAAAAGCTTTTGGCTTCCCTTCCCAATGGATTTCTTGGATCCAAGAATGTGTTACTAAAGTTTCATACTCTTTAAAAATTAATGGGGAAACAACCGAATGGTTTAAACCCTCTAGAGGTCTTAGACAAGGGGACCCATTATCCCCCTACTTATTCATCCTTTGCATGGAAGTTCTAATTAGGAAACTTTGTTTAGAAAGTTCTTACCGCAAATCTAGGATAGACTTCAAAATTTGTCCTAGGTCCTTTTCTATTCCTTGTTTGCTATTTGTAGATGATAGCTTACTTTTCTGTAAAGCTACCGCTTCAGCTTGTACTAATCTTAAGAAAATCCTAGATTCTTTTTGTGACATCTCTGGCCAGCTAGTAAATTTTCACAAATCTTCAATTATTTTCTCAAGAAACATCCCTAATGGCCGAAGAACATTATTAGCTGCACATTTTAACATGACCCCTAAAGCCTCGCTTGGTAGATATTTAGGCGTTCTCTTTAGTTCTTATTATCCGCTGAAGAAAGATTATAAACATGTCATGGAAAAAACTGAACAACGTATCCAACATTGGGAAGCCGGTTTCTTATCAAAGGCAAGAAGACATACGCTTATCCAAAGCAATTTAGAAGCTTTACCTAGTTACCTATGCTCATCTTCCCTCCTTCCTAATGATGTAGCTAAAGAATTAGACTCCTTCCACCGAAAGTTCTTTTGGAGACAAGAGAAAGATAAAAACAGCATCCCCCTTATTGCTTGGGATAAGATTTTTAGACCAAAGGATGCAGGTGGGCTAGGTCTCCGGGGAACACTGCCTCTTAACAAGGCATTCATTGCAAAGTTAGGGTGGAAAATTATCTCCGAACCTAATAGTCTATGGGTTAAAATCATTAGAGATAAATATCTATGTAATAAATCCTTCTTTGAATGCACTCCAAATGTTAAAGATTCTTATATTTGGAGGAAAATCCTTGCCCAACGGGAAATTTTAAGAAAAGGAATTCGATGGAAGATTGGAAATGGAATGGATATATACTTTTGGATTGATAATTGGGTAACCAACCAAAGCTTAATTGAACTACTTCGTATGGATCCTAATCAAGTTGAGTTAGACACAAAAGTTTCAGACTTCATTCTCCCCAACAAACAATGGGATAGACAGAAGCTATGCTAGCTACTTTCTCCCAGACAATATCGTTTCTCAAATATTAGGAATTCCATTACCTAGCAGCGCGATGCTAGATATGCCGGTGTGGGGTCTTACTTCGTCTAGCACATTTACAGTAAAATCCGCCACATGGCTTGCCCATAATCTTGGCCTTGATGATAAATGGGAACATCATTGGATATGGAAATTAGATATCCCTCCTAAGCTCCAAATCTTCTTGTGGCAAATTCTTCATAATAGTCTAAGCGTTCGTGATACCCTTTACAAAAGAAACGTAATTCCTTTTAGTGATTGTGGTCTATGTAATATTTATAGCGAAACAGTGAACCATCTTTTTCTCACTTGCATTCATTCTAAAGATGTTTGAAACCATACCTTAGTTAAGAATTGGTTGGATTGTAGAGTTCCCTACACTGATTTAGTTGAAGCACTTTTAGGTTTAAAAAAACACAAACTATCTATTAGGAAATTTATCTTCCTTATTTGGAGTATTTGGAAAGAGCGAAATTCTATAATTTTCCGCCAAGAATCCTTTGATATTCCTAGAATTTTCCACCGAGCGCAATTTGCGTTCAATTAGTGGCACTACAGAATTCTCACCGATACCTTTTCTTCATCGGGATCTCCTATTCGGAGATCCTCATCTTCTCCTTCTCATTCTCCAACAAACACTATCATGGTTTCCTGGGAGGCGCCACCAACAAATTTCTACAAACTCAACTTTGATGGTTCGGTGCTCAACAATCAGCAGCAGCAGGGATTCTCATCAGAGACAGTAGTGGGGCAGTTTCAGGAGCTCGCGCTTTCAACCTCGGCACCACCAAGGTTTTCATAACAGAGGCCATGGCTCTTCATAAAGGCATTCTTCTTGCTCTTGAGCGTGGGATCAAAAACATCATAAATTGAAGGTGATAATCTTTTAGTAATCAACTCCGTTAATGGCATCTGGTCAGCACCATGGCAAATTGATCCTATTATTCAAGACATTTGTTCACTTCTTAGCGATTTCGATAACTATAGCATTCGTCACATCTTTCGAGAGGCAAATCAAGCAGCGGACTAGATAGCAAATGTTGGTCATTTAGTTAGTGATAGTATGGATATAGTCCCTTGTAATAATTCTTCTTTATTTCCCATCCTTTCTTCCGACACACTAGGAATTCCCCTCGTGAGGGGGTTTCCTAATGTTTCCTTTTTTTTTCTTACCATTGTAAAAAAAAAAATAAAAAAAAAATTACAAATACAGTATTAAAAAGAAAAAAGGAGTAAATGAATTTCATTTTTCTCCAAGCCCTGAAAGCTTTCAATTATCCACCTCTACCTATAAAGATTCTTAATTCTTAGTAGGAAAACACATTGGTGTGAATCAATGTAATCTCAATTCAATTTCATCTCCATGTTTGTTACGGAGTGTTAGCAAATGGGTTATTAAAATAAGTTTTGGTCAATTTTCTTGGACCATAATTGGAATGACGATCCTTTTAATTCAATTTTGGGTCTATATTAGTTACGGAAATATGAGTTAGTTTTATCAATTGAACACATAATCATAAAATCGACTCGATCATTAGAGTCTATATTAATATCTGATTTCCTTGCCGAGAAAAAGGCCCAAAAGGGCCACAAGCCATGACACAATACCAAAAACAGCCAAAATCCAATTCTAGGTGCTTCCCCCTCCAACTCCCTTTATCCAAAATGGCAAAATCCAACTTCTAATCACTCACAAACACTCTTGACTCATCCATCAACAGTCAACATCAGAAACTCATCATACATTCATTTACAAACCACATTTCCATCTTACAGAAAGTCCTGGACTTTACTAGAAAATTAAACCCACAAATTTTATAATATTAAAAAATCCAAATCCAACGATCACCAAACTCTTGCATCTCAATCCCACCCAATCCAACGGTGGAGATCAAAAGAACCTTCTAGAATACTCTCCCTCCAAAACTTCCTTTTTATAACTTGATCATCTTTATCTCTCTCACCTAACCCATTAAAAAAAAAATCAAAAAAAAAAAAAAAAACTTGATAAATTCTCTGTTTTTCAGATTTTCTGAAACTTGTTACAATAATCATGGCAACAACCTCAGCAGCAGCACAAATCAACATCCTAGGAAAAACCAGCAACAAAAACAACAGTAGTTTCCTAGGACAAAAACTCAGGAACAACAGAGTTTCAGTACTTGTTAGCTCTAAGAGAAGAAATGGGAATATTCCAGGACAATCTAGAAGGTCCGGTGGTTTACGAGTGGTGAGTGAGAAGGTGGTGGGGATTGACTTAGGGACGACAAACTCCGCAGTGGCAGCTATGGAAGGAGGACAACCAACAATCATAACTAATGTTGAAGGGCAGCGCACCACGCCTTCTGTGGTGGCTTACACCAAGGGTGGGGATCGCCTCGTGGGTCAGATTGCAAAGCGACAGGCGGTGGTTAACCCGGAGAACACGTTCTTTTCGGTTAAAAGGTTTGTAGGGAGGAAGATGGGAGAGGTTGATGAGGAGTCTAAGCAAGTTTCTTATAAAGTTGTCAAGGATGATAATGGGAATGTTAAGCTTGAGTGTCCTGCTATTGGCAAGCTGTTTTCTCCTGAGGAAATCTCTGCTCAGGTACTACTAATTCATTTTTCGGTTTTTTCGTATTAGTTGCATTGTTTTGAAATTAAATTACTGAATGAGATGCTGTGTATGTGAGAAAAATAATGCAGGTGTTGAGGAAGCTTGTGGAGGATGCATCAAGGTTCTTGAATGATAGTGTTAACAAGGCGGTGATCACTGTACCGGCTTATTTCAATGATTCTCAGAGGACTGCTACTAAGGATGCTGGTAGAATTGCTGGTTTAGATGTTCTTAGGATTATCAATGAACCTACTGCTGCTTCATTAGCATATGGGTTTGAGAAGAAGAATAACGAGACGATTTTGGTTTTTGATCTTGGAGGTGGTACTTTTGATGTTTCGGGTAAGTTTCTCAAAGCAAATGACTCCGATTGTGAGAAATTCTATGCATTTATCAGCCTTCTGCAGTAAATTTGATGCAGTACATCAGATTGTCTTACATTGCAACTCTTTCTACCTTTTGCAGTTCTTGAGGTTGGAGATGGAGTTTTCGAGGTGTTATCAACATCAGGTGACACTCATTTGGGAGGCGATGACTTTGATAAGGTAGGAAACAAGGAATCGGCGCCTATTGATGTGTTAGCTTTAATTAGTTCTTTGATCTTGTGCAGTGAAATGATACAGTTGTTTGCAATTGCTGCTGCAGAGAATGGTAGATTGGCTAGCAGAAACTTTCAAGAAGAATGAGGGTATTGATCTTCGGAATGACAGACAAGCTCTTCAGCGCCTAACTGAGGCTGCTGAGAAGGCAAAGATTGAGCTTTCGACCTTAACTCAGACAAGCATTAGGCAAGTATTATAAGTGTATCATACTTTTACACAGGTTGTGCCTTTAGAAATCATTTCAGATTATACTAAGATCATCAATGGTGTGTTTTGACAGCTTACCTTTCATTACTGCAACACAAGACGGCCCAAAACATATTGACACAACCCTCACAAGAGCAAAGTTCGAAGAGTTATGTTCAGACTTGCTCGACAGGTATAATGTTCAGAAAACTAAAGTAATTATTTGCTCAACTTGTGTCACTTTGCTTTGATTACTAACAGGCTGCTTTAAATTATGCAGATTGAAGACACCCGTCGAAACTGCTTTAAAGGACGCACAACTATCGATTAAAGACATAGACGAAGTTATCCTTGTTGGTGGATCAACAAGGATACCAGCTGTACAGGATGTTGTGAAAAAGATGACAAGTAAAGACCCAAATTGCACTGTCAACCCTGATGAAGTAGTAGCCCTTGGTGCTGCTGTTCAGGTAAGTAGTTTTTCATTCAGTATTGAATTTACGAGTCTTTGGTGTAGGTTGTGGTTTAACTCTTCCTTCCCAAATGGCGGTCAATAATTTCAGGCTGGTGTGTTGGCTGGAGATGTAAGTGACATAGTTTTATTGGATGTAACACCATTGTCTTTGGGGTTGGAGACACTTGGTGGTGTTATGACAAAGATCATTCCAAGAAACACGACACTGCCTACTTCCAAATCAGAAGTATTCTCAACTGCTGCAGATGGGCAGACAAGTGTAGAGATTAATGTACTTCAAGGAGAAAGAGAGTTTGTGAGGGATAACAAATCACTTGGAAGCTTTCGACTAGATGGGATACCTCCAGCTCCGCGTGGGGTACCCCAAATCGAAGTTAAGTTCGACATTGATGCCAATGGAATTCTTTCTGTCACCGCTGTTGACAAAGGAACTGGAAAGAAACAGGACATTACTATAACTGGTGCTAGCACTTTGCCTAAAGATGAGGTATGTTTTTGAGTCACTTCCTCTAATTATTTCATCACTTTTTTTGTACAGAGGCAAAAGTCCTTATTTATGTTGAAATAGACATATATTTGATTTACATTTGAAAATAGAGTTGCTGGAAAATGACCTGACCTAAAAATAATTGGTTAGAACTATAAATATGGTTTTAAGCAGCAAAGCTGTTTGGAATGATATTAATGTGAATTAATGATTATTGCAGGTGGAAAAGATGGTTCAAGAGGCGGAGAAGTTCGCACAAGAGGATAAGGAGAAGAGAGATGCAATTGACACCAAAAACCAAGCTGATTCTGTAGTGTATCAAACCGAGAAGCAGCTGAAGGAGTTGGGAGAAAAAATTCCCGCAGCAGTAAAGGAGAAGGTTGAGATCAAACTAAAAGACCTTAAGGATGCTATGGAAGGTGGCATTACTCAGAAGATTAAGGATGCCATAGCTGCAGTAAACCAGGAAGTAATGCAGATGGGGCAATCTTTGTACAGTCAACCAGGAGCGGCTGGGGCAGGTCCTACAGCAGGAACACCCGCTGATTCGACTGAATCCACTGGAGCCAGTTCTGATGGTAATGGAGATGTCATAGATGCTGATTTTAGCGAAAGCTAGATAGCAAATGAGGAGGCTATCTTGCAAAGCATTTCCATTCAGCTCACTATATATACTGCAGCCTTACAAGTGTTCATTCGCCTGCTAACTTATGAGCCATCTTGGTATACCAATGACGTGCATAAGATTACAGGAGATCTTAGAAGTTATCTCAAAATCAAAAATATTTCTTGAGGAAATCCTTACTTGAGTTGTGTTGTACTTTATCAGTAGAATTAGGAGAACTTGTAAATTTTGGATGATTTGAAATAATGTTGTTCCGAAAGATAAAATGAAAAGGTTTATTTGAAAAGCTAGCAGAATTATAATTTTTTTTTAATAATTGATGCCAAATGTTTCTACAGAAATCTTGCCAAAATTAATTTATTGCACTATTCAAGAACAAGTATCCACTGACCAGTTTAAATTCCTTTTATAACCCAGAGAGAGTGAGATTACACCAATGAAGGTCTGCCTATAAGACCATAATGTGTTTAACATCATAGGTAGGCCTCAATACAAAGTAATGGGAGCATCCAAAAAAAAACCACCCCACCAATCCACAAAAAATACTACAGGGCAAGCAACAATTCTAACTGCATTCTAGTGAAACAATAAATGAGTAATATCATTCTCCTTGCTCTTCCTCCTCGCCTAACAATTGATCAAGTTAGGGGACAGGAGGTTATACCTGTAACTTGATGATGAGCCTTATCAGTTCACATATTGTATTCCTGTAGCTGTTGTGCTCCCTTTGTGAAGTTGAAGAGCAGTATCGCCAACCACCTGCATGTTTGTCCATCGTTCAATCAGTAGATTCAGTACCAGAATATCCATGACTATTTTGAAGTTAAGCTTAGAAAATGGAGACTATCCTTTTTCTAAAAACAAAAGAACAACAAATCTGAAAATTATGGTCATGAAATGATAGGAAACACAAATTTATGCATAAGAGGCCTACACTCACTTTCAACAACGTTGGGATAGTGAGTCAGTGAAATCTCTATGTATTTTCCTAGCCGCAACATATCACAACACATGTAAGGGGATCCTCATAGGACCATCTTTTCAATTCATGAAATGAATACATGATATGCATCCAAGCCAACATATGAACATCAGACCCTTGGATACCAGTGCCTGAGGCCCTTATTCTAGGCTTAGCAGTTGATCTTAGCATGTGACAGAACTTGATTCCAGATCACCAGCTGTAGTTCATTCAATGACTTGCAGTGTTTGACAATTGACATGAATGTATACACGTCAATCATACCATCCACTAAGAACTCAACGTTGTACACTGTACACTCTATTGACAGTTTACAACCATTAATATCTAACTCATTCATCGGAAAATTTATAGTTTCGGACAAAAAAAATTTAGGTTATCCCCACAGCAAGTATATCGTAAATGCGTGACTAGGTAATATCGAATGAGAAGTTAGAGAATTCCCAAGGATATTCATAACAATTGATTTGCTTTTAATTATTATCTTAAAATCTTAAGCCCGAGATTTACATACCTTTGCCATGGATTTATAGGAATATTCTGTAACCCCAGCAACATGAGGTGTGATTAGAACATTTGGAAACTGCAAAATTGGATCGCTGGGATCGAATGGCTCAGTCCAAGCCACATCAATACCCAAGCCTCCTAAATGGCCAGACTTGAGACTTTGTGCAACAGCATCATAATCTAGGAGACCTCCACGTGCAACATTTACCAGATAGGCCCCCTGCATACATAGTGAAAGTGCCAAAACAATTGGATTTCATCAAAATGAACACTGGGGAAAAGATCTAATCAACACCAAGACATTTTAAAAAATTAGTCGAGCTCAAAGTTTCTCATTGTAGATCTTTTGCTTCTCTATAGAAAACCATGACATGCTAAAGGGGAAAGGATTAGCCAACTTGAATTTAAGGCAAGTAAAACACACCTTTTTCATGGACTGCATGAATGAATGGTTTATGATACCAGCCTAAACATTAGCAAAGATACACCTTGGTCAGCACCTCTCTTAGACAACATGGAATTCGACAGTACAATCAAGTCAATATATTTGAGTAGCATTACCGTCTCACGGTTCATATTTAGGCAACAAACAACTATGTCTGCCATGCCTGCATACTTGTATATATCATCATGGCTACCCTTCTCATCAACTAAATCAGCAACACAATCATTTTGGGCCGAAGAACCTGAAGATATAAAATTTACACATGACACCTAATCGTAAAAAATAAGAGCATAATTGGAAACCTAAGTAGTTAGTTCCACAAATGCAATAACAGTCAAACCATTTTTTTGAAGAGAGGTCCAACTACGTTTTGTTGCAAGGATTTTAACATCAAATGGTCTCAACCGCTTTGCCAATTCTTGCCCAATATTCCCAAGACCCAAAATTAACACCTGTTTAAGCATATACGCACTTCATGTTAGCTTGGAAATTTAAGTGAAGAAATCAACTAATTAGATTAAAACAAGGAAGTAAATACCAAACAATCTTCTTGACAACTTTTGCTGACATAAAGACCTTTATCTAAATCCAGAGTGATAAACAAGCTTTTCACTGAGTCTGTTTACTACAGCCATCTGACTCGACACCTACAAATGAATCTACTACACTAATAACACTATTAACAAGCTTCACCTGGCCACACTAGGGTTTGGGACAATTTTTCACTCATTTCTGAGCTCGTTGTTGAGATGAAATATGATGACTTGATCATTCTTCATGATTGAATTTTAAACTGCCATTTGTATTGACACATGAAGATCAATCGATCATTCTTTAAGATTGAATTTTGATATTAGCCCTAATGATTACCGATCAGTTGTCTTCTTTCAGTCAAACAACATAGATGATGTTCAGATACTATCAAACTTTTCAAAAAAATCAAAAAGGAAAAAAAAGGGGAGGGGGGGGGGGCTAGAAGTTCTGAATCATACATGAAGTAAGCAAAGAAGATGTAAACAATAAAATCCAAAAATTTTGGTACAGTTAATAACACAGCAATAGCCAGGGAAGGGGAGGTGGGGGGAAAGGGGATCTCACAGTTTTCCCAAATAAAGTTCCACCAGCAGGCTCACCAAGTTTTTTCAGCTTTATTGAAATCTCCATCTCCTTCTGCAAAATGTTAGCAAGGGAAGCTTAGCTACAAGACTGGCAGATGAAAAATCCACAGAGAAACGAGACTATAAAATTCCTTATGGATAATGAAGTTTGTAGACCAATAAACAAAAATAGCTTACTTGTTTTCGTAAAAGGCCCAACATCAGATATATTGCCATCTCTGCACATGAAGCAGCATTTCCAGTGCCATCTGCAGGAATTCTAGCAACTTTAATTCCATGTTTTGTTGCTGCATCTGCATCAACACCTGCTCAAAATAGAAGCCAGACACAATGTCAGTGAATGCACTAAATTCTACATCTTCTCCTTCAATCACTGAAGAAGAAAAAAGAAAATACAAAGAATTATCAGAATCACATAAACAATAGCAAACCCAGAGAAATACCCTCTAAGCCAACACCAAACTGTAATATGAGCTTCATTTGTTTTGCACGAGAAATAATATCTGAATCTATTCGCATCATCCTCGGTATGCACATGTGGTAGTTGCCAATCACATTGGGCACATCACTTAGAGGGACATCATCAACCTACATTTAAATTTCAACATGAAGAGACTTCGTCACATAAAGATACTTATTAAATGTATTACAACCATATTTGATACTTCTTAGACAATTAAACATCTCTAAGAGGGTTGAATTTTTATAAGCACAAAGTAAGTTCAAAATGTTGGCAAGAAGCAAAATGGACAACATCAAAGTTCAAAAGTGTACTTCCTCCGTTTCTTTTTACTTGCAACTAATCACATGAACACGCAATTTAAGAAAGATATTAGCGAGTGTAAACAGGGAACCCAATTAACCAAACCCTTTCATCCTTATGAACAATAAAGCCCCCATACTACAAATTGCCCAAGACCAACCCTAACTTGACCCGGGTTCGATTTCTATAACTCTTTAACATAAAATTGAGGCAATATTCACTTTCAACTTGATGTCTAATACTAAAATTCAGTAATATCAAATCAATGCATTCCTAATGTTCAATATCAGTGAATCAAGACTACAGCTTTTAGTATTTCAACAGCACTGCTAGGTAAAGTTTACCTGAATATGAGGATAATTACTCAAATACTCTTTGGTATAATTATAAGAATCAACAAACTGTTGTCCACAAAATAGAACTCGAGTAATTTGCTCATCACTTCCACCCATTTTCTCTTCATTCACCATTGAACTTGCTGTTGACATTTGTTACAAACATAATCAAATTTAGAAAAACAAAAATTGTAGATTTCAGAATCAACCCAATTTGAAGAACTTTTAGCTGAATTTACTTCATCCCAAATTTAAATTAAAATAAATAAATAAATTAACATGGGGTTGCAAGTTATTGACTTTATAATCAGAAAATGAAGCAGCAGTTAATTAGACATTTTCCTGGAATCTCAAAACTTACAAAAATTAGTTAAAGAAATGAAAAAAAAAAAGATTAGAGAGTTGATTAGTTTACCAGAGTGAAGATTGAAAGAGGGAGAAGCAGCAAATTTGGTAACGCACTCAATAATTCGGCCAAATCTGCAACATTATTTCTTAGTTTTTGTGTTTTATTCGTAATTTTTAACATCAAATGGTTTTGCTCGTATCATGTATCACGTGGGAATAATAGTTTTAATTGTCTTTACTTTGATCTTAACTAACTTTTTGGTCCGTTCAATGCACGAGTTGTTACTTGGGTTAATTATGGTATGCTTTATTTCTATAACTTAAAAGGAAAACAAAAAAAAAAGAGTGAGGATAGAACTGTGAAAGAAGACGAAGGAATTTAGTTAGATATATATACATAAAGATTGTGGGATATGAAATTACATATTAATTAAGATTATATTTAAAGTCTATGAGATGAAAAGACAATTTTTATTATAATTTATATATTTATCTAATGCGTAGTTTTTTTTTTTTTGTTTTTTTTCTTGTTTTTTTTTTTTTGAATAGATGTAATGTTTAGTTGTGTACTAATTAATTGAACTTTATTTTATTATGATGGAAATGAAACACTTCACTTTCTTAATTGAATTTGCAAGTTGTAGAATCTATAAAGACTTAAATATAAATATTAAGGGAGCTGACATGTGGCATATGGGGGTAATGAGTGACTTATGATGCCACGTGTCATTTGAAAAAGTTGTGGTTTTTGTTTTAAAATGCTAAGTATAGATATAGATTTTCAATTA